CTCCCTGCTTTGGTGGCCCTGCTTGCGCCGCCGCCAGCCTCAGCAAGGCGCGGCCCGGGCCAGTTCAGCCCAAATGGGGCTTGGGGCTTCCAAGGAGCCTGAGGGAGAGGGGCTGCTGCCCCCATGGCCGCTTGCGAACCTGACATTTAAACATGAGTTTTTCCTCTGCGTTGAGCCGGTGAATGGATGCGTGAACTGAAAGCAAAGATTCCGGCTTTAAAAGCCGCTTTGTAGCGTGACATGCTTTGAAGGTGGTTGATCTTTTGCGCCCAAAGTTAAACATGGATTAGGTGTTTCTGCTCAGTAGCATGGAATGACTGTTCCGGTCAAGAAGTGCAGTCGGTTCAATCCAGCAGGCAGTCTGCCTCAAGTTTTAATGCCGTTCTTACAGTTAATACAGGTTTTTAAGGTATGCAGATAACATCTAGCTTATTCTTCCTTGCTACAAAGCCCGGCCTCAGCGATGACTCTGGCAGCAAGGTTAAAAGATATTCATATTGCTACAGGGAGCTTTTTCCTTCCTTGATATAAACTTGATGTTTTAAAATTCAGCAATCCAACTTAGATCTAACCGCAGAGGCAAAACGTAAGAGGGGGCTGAATTTAAAAGATCTGACTTACTGGTGTGGAAACCGATGAGTTAACGTAGCATGTGTTTTGGGGCCAGCAGGGGCTGTGGGGCAATCATGCCGTTGCTTCTTAGATGCAAAGTCTGGATTTAGCTTGTGGCGTTTGGTAGTGCCATCGCTGAAGCCACAGGACCAGACAGTGCGGCGCTTTACAAAACCTTTTCAACATCTAGGAGCCTGCTAAAGAGATGGACGTGTTATTGTTATTAAATATTCTCAGCTTACAAATTGTTTTCCAAAGTTTTTGAATGGTAAAGCCCATTTGATCTGTCCATGTGTTGTGGGGTTTTTTTATTTTTTAGGGTGAGCTGTTTGAGAGATGGTCTTGCAGAGAAGGAGCTTGGGTCACACGATGTGGTAACACAGGCCCATCAAGAACAGGAGGTTGGTTTGAGGTAAAAGGTGCAGCTTTTGCCTGACTGGAGGCCAAGGATAGGCTGAAGAGATTTTCCTGGACTGTGGGGAAGAGGAGCTAGGTCAGTGCTGAAGGACCATTTTAAGGGAGTAAAGGCAAGAATCTATGAGCTCTGTGCAGTCTGCTTTCAGCGTAGGATGATGGGACTGAAGGATTAGCCACGTGGTGCAAGAGTTTGCCGCTTGTGATCTCAGCAGGGTGCAGCAGAATTTCTCAGTGGTCGCTCTTTGATCTTCTGTATCTTTTCGGTTCTGTGACTTGAGGCAAAAGGTCTCTGACCTCAGAGAACTTGGGAGCCAGTTCTGCTAGAAAAAAACACTATGCTTTTCCTCACTATAGCAGATGTTTCAGACTTAAGGGTTCACTTGTGCATTGCCGTTTGCGTAGAATCGGGGTTCTGTGAAGCATGTACGCTTTCTCAAGTGATCGTGAGACATCTGTTGCCCCGTTTTGGACCGCAACTACGGTTCTTTCAAAATAAACTTGGAAGTGGAGGTAGAGCTGCTCAAATGCATAACAGAGTTTGTATGGATGACTTCACAAACCGGACTCCATTATTTCCTGGCAGCACTTAGGATGTGTTATTGTCTCTTTGCAGTATTTTTTCCTTTCTTCCTTGGCTCTTTAAGACTTGTGCGCTAACCTGATCTTACGTTTGCATTGCAGAAATGTCTCATTGGTGGCATATGGCTTATATCCAGAAGATACCCAGTTCCCGCGGTCCACAGGGGTACAGTCTATAGAATGAGCAGGCCTGTTTTAGAGATCCATCAGGTTGGTTAATGGCTAAATTTTTTTATTTCAGGCTGAAAGTGGTTTCCCATTAGAGTACTGACCTGTGGATATATTTCTGTGAAGTGCCAGTTCTAGGTTGAAAGCCTCCACTTTTTAAGATCTATCCTGACAAACTCAAGGAATTCTGTAGTAGCTGAGTCCAAGTGACAACATTCAGGGGTGGTGCTCTGGTAACTTCATCTACCAAATTGTTTAAGCCTGAACTAATCTCTGGAGATAAACTTCCTCTGGAGAAACATCTTTTTTTAATGCCTGTAGAGATGTACTTCACAGGGCATTAGAAATGTGTTGGACATCTGGCTGTTTTGAGGGTAGGCTGCTCCTTTTTCAAGGTAGCTGTATGTTTTCCACAACATTTAATAGGTTAGAAGTGACCCAGTGCTTGGCTTAAGTAAATCTACCTGCTGGCTTTGATACTTGTTTAATTTAATGTCTCTTTGGATTCTACAACATGTAATGATTTTCTTTAGTCTAGATGCTACTCTACTGGAGGAAGAAAGGGTTTTATATCAGGTTTTGTGGAGAACATCAAACAGGAATTAGCAAAAAACAAGGAGATGAAAGAAAGTATTAAAAAATTCCGAGATGAAGCTAAGAAGCTCGAAGAATCTGATGCGCTTCGAGAAGCAAGGAGGAAATATGTAAGTCTTCCTCCTGAATTCCTTTGATGTTTTCATTGCCCAGTCACTGAGCTATTACTGTTCTGAATGTAAATTTGAATCTTTCTGCAAATGAACTGTTTAGTTCAGTACGCCTGTTTTTATGGGAATTTCTGCTTGGCTGGAAATACTGACTGGTAAATGGATGCCTTGGAGTGGTTTTGGTTTTTTCTAAAGCGGAAAATCTTTCCAGCGGACCCTAAATAATGAGCAGATAAAATAATGAGACATGAAATTTAATGTTGGCAGTATATAAATACTTCTGCATTCTCCGAAGAGCTAGGAACAGCATTGCTTGCAAAGATGAAATGCTGACGCTGGTTACTTGAGTAGCGTGCTCCCTAAGATGTAGCTCTTTTTGCCCTCAATTCCAGTGTTAATGGGGTGTGCTATGTGCTAAACTGCTTTTGAGTATTTTCTGTCTGTGTAGTTACATGCAGCGTGTTTTTTTTTCTCCACAGAAAACCATTGAATCTGAAACAGTGAAGACCTCAGAAGTGATTAAAAAGAAACTTGAAGAAATAACTGGTACAGTTAAAGAGGTAAAATGCAGCTGTGGAAGGACTCTTCCCTCAGGCAGTTCTGCTCTAAGGTTGTGTGTTCTGTGTGCATTTGAATTGCCACCCCTTCTTTTTTCTTGGTGAAAGGTTGCTATTCCAGAGGTGATCACTATTCTGAATCTTTAAGGCTAGAGTCATTAAACAAATGGCAGCGATAGCATATGAGATATTTCTTACTCAGTTAGTGTGTGGTCAGAGGACAGGCACTGTCCAGTGATTCCGCTCAGGTTTGGAGACTGGAGATGGTCCTTGCGGTTCTGCATTGTCTAGCATTAAAAAAAGCCCCAAGGTGTTTTTTCCACCAGAGGGCAATTAGAGCAATGCTGGAAGATCACCCTGGAAAGTTATTTAGGGGATGTGATGCTCTTCACACTGACAGTTTTTGCTACTAATGTGATAGGGCTTTGGGCTTCTTACTGCATGTTGAAAAAGACTTGCAACATCAGAGGTGTTGAAAGTAGAAGTGCTGGTGGTATAGCTGAAGTGCTCTCCTCTAAGTTAGCATGCTGGAAGTGATCCCGTGGCTCTGTGTGTCTTGGGAATAACAAAATGCCTGGAGGAGCAGGCATCGTTCAGACCTAACAGGCATGAGTGTCTTCCATTCTAGGCTCAGGCTTTAGAGATCACTGTCTATGTACATCTGCTTTTAAGCAATTCAGTTCAAGTTATTTTTCAGGCTGGGACTAAGCACTGCACCTTGTGCTCATTTACTTCATTTCTTGTCCAAGTTCATCCAGGCAGCAGATGTATTTGAGTGTTTAGTATGCTTTGGCTTTTATCGCTGGAGTTAATTGCTGAGGAGTCTTCCTGATAGTATTTTAAATAAGGAAGATATCAGGTGCATGTGGCACCTGTAGAAGCTGATCTGCAGTGTTATGGTATCTGTGAGTTCAGCTGGTACAAAACTGGGCTATTTGGGCCATCCTCAGTGGGGAGCAAGACCTTTTATTCCTTATTCCCTCTTTTCTGCCCCCTTCTCAGCGTGGGCACCATTGTGAGTCCACATCCATTCAGCACCTCGCCGCATTCCTTCCAGAGGAGACAGGGAACAACTCTCAGGACAGGGCCTGCTGCTCTGGTAACCCAGCGATTCCTGCGGGCTCAGACTGCACCGACTGCTGTGAGGCTCCAGGGCTGCCAGGAGGAGGAGAGCAGATCTGGGAGAGACACTGCCTGTCCTACTCGCTCCTTTGTGGTGAAAGTGCCTGCTGGTCAGCTGGCTCTGAGACCTGCTTCTGGGTTTATCCTTAGCCTTCCTTCTGCTGCAGACCTGCCAGTACCCGGGAGGTGGCACTGAGCTAGAAGAGTTGGAGAAGGGCTTTTGTTGCAGTGTCTGCCACCCCGACAGTTACTCTCAGGCACCTGAGGCTTGTTTTTCCCTCCTGCCAATCAGAGTAATTAAATAAGCAGTGACTGAAAACTTGCTGCTCTTTCTCTTAAAGGGAGTGCAAGATTTTCCTGCAGTAAGTTACAGTTGAGAGGTACTTCAGGAGGCTATTCCTTATCTGTCAGTTGAAATGCATGGAGTTCATGCTTGTAGCTAGGCTGAGAGCGGAGTGAACTTACCCATTTTCAGCAGTGGTTTAAGACCAAAGCTGGGTTGGTTGTTCCCAGCACTGCCTGGAACTCTTGCAGTCAGGTGCAGGGTCCCCGCTGAGAAATGACCAGCCAAATACTAGTCTTAAACTCTGAAATACGAAGTTTCTGTGGACCCGGTCCCCGCTCTCAACACCAGGTTGGACGGGGCTCTGAGCAACCTGATCTAGTTAGCGGTGTCCCTGCTCCTGCAGGGGGATTGGACTAGATGACCTCTAGGGGTCCCTTCCAACCCAAAACATTCTATGATTCTATGATTCTCTGCTCTGCTTCTTCACTCTTGTTCTGTCTAAATGTGCCTTGGTGTAGCAGCTTAACTGTGTGTGTGGTTAGGAGCTGGACATAATGCCCTTTGCCGATGTGGATGTAATCATTATCTTTTCAGTCCTGTTGAGGGTGCTGTAAGCATCTTTATTAGCCAAATCCCATTAAAATACAGGGAAAAGCATTTGGTACTGTTATCCTGTCATTTCTCTTCCTCTGAGGTTGTGGCTTGTGACCCACCCAGGATTGGTTGCCTGCTGCCAGTGAGATTTCCCAGATCCTTGAGGATCTGATGTGTGCTGGTGCAGAATGAAAAAGGTGACCAGCTACTGACAGAGGCCTTTTAACCTCTTGCGTATGAGATCCTGGCTCTGTAAATGCAGCCAAAGCGTTGTGTATGAAGACGTTGGATTGAGAAAAGCATTTCCTAATTTTGCAGGAAGAGTTGCGTAGCAGAGAGCTGTCTCAACCACTTTTATACCTTCTCTTAAGAAGCAAGAAGTACCCGATTGTTTCAAAGGAAAGGGCTAGGGTATTTTAACTCTGACATCATTGGTCCTTCTCTTTGATGTCAAGACAAACGTTTATTTTTTTTTAAATCTGTGGGTAGCAGCTATTATGCGTATGGTTCCATGAGTAGCCAAATTTGTTGTTCTGCCCAGAGGTGTTGGATAATGCTGCAGGGCCAAGCCCCGGTGCCCTGGTAAAGTCTCCCCTGTGATCTGTAACTATGTTGACCTTAGGTTTGGTTGGTCTTGTTGTGTGTGCATTAGGAGATCTTCAGTATTCACAAAGAGGGGTTACTCAAAATAAGTTTTTACCCATTTCACCTGAAATGACCTTTTCTTTCCTGTTTTGTTTTGCTGCAGAGTTTGGATGAAGTAAGTAAAAGCGATATTGGCCGAAAGATAAAGGAAGGTGTGGAAGAAGCAGCAAAAACAGCAAAGCAGTCTGCGGAGTCAGTGACAAAAGGAGGGGAGAAACTAGGCAAGACAGCAGCCTTCAAAGCTATTTCTCAGGTGCGTAAGCCCTATGCCTCTGTAGGACCTAACGCTGTGGACACAGCTCGTTAGCATGGAAATTCTGTGTGAGTTTGTGCTGAGTATAAAATTAAATCCTAAACTCCTACAGCAAGACCTTGTGAGCCATTGGAATGATCAATTCAGGAGACGCATTTTTCAGGTCTAGCATGCTCAGCAACCCTAGAGAAGTGTAAGTCTCGAGTAGCTGAGCTTCTGCTAAAATGTGTTGATGGAAAAATTGGTTGCTATGTTTGTGGAGTAGGTTATGAATGTCTTCTGTAGGCAGGCACTGGCGGTACTCTGAGGCACTACTGACTGACAAACTGGCATGCTTAAAGCTCTCCTTTTCTAGAAAATACGTAAGCGCTTGTATGTTTTGATGTCACCCAGTTAACTGGTAATTAGCCTAAAAAGAAGTGTTCCCCTTGTCTGGTTTCTTGTGGCCTCTGAAGCGGTGGTAAAGCCCTTGTACGAGGAGGTGCCAGGCCGGACGGAGTATCAGTCGCATTGGTCATCTCAGTTCCCCTCTTTCTGTGTTTCTAATAAGATGTCATCTGGCAAAGGTCACGTCTGGCCACAGCTGCAGATCACATTATACACTGCTGGGTTTTTTTCTTTTTCTGTAATGAAACCTGTTATCTTACTCCAGCAGCCTCCTAATCTAAGAACCGTTTGTTCCTTCTATGAAGCAGGCTGCTAGGCCAGACCTTATAAGCAGGCAATGATTTTATGGGACCTTAAATTAAATTTTTTGAGGCTTAAAGATTTGTTTTCCCTGTAAACTGATAAACCCTTTGATTCATTGTCAGATTTAAGTTAACCGGATCACAGAGCTTTTATAGGCTTTGAGCAGTTCTTGTAGCTTTGCTATCCTTTCTAGTATGTGTGTAGAATTTAGCATATTCACTCTACTGCTTCAGAAAACCAAACACTTAGAAATTGTAGTAGTAGTCTCATTTTGCAATCCCCATTGCTTCAGGATTTAGGAGATACTTTATTTGTATACTGTAGAGCTAGATGATACCCACGGGGGCTTGTGTCTTGTTCTGTTCTCTGCCAGGTCCCTCAGATGGTCTTTTATAGTCAGTAGGAACAGACTGAGCTTTGGAGCTTTTTATTTGCTTATCCTTGATGTTTAAAGTCACTTAAATTCCAATTTCTGCTTCCTGTCAGATCTCTGGCATCTGTTCTGTCTAGGCCCTGAGCACTGTTGTGACTTTCTTCAGGAAGAAGTCACGCTGACTTTCAGTAAGGGAGGACGGCTTAGGCAGGCAAAGCTGCGTTGGACACTTGTGTTCTCCAGAAAATTCCTGCATAAAATGAAGTTGAAAAATAACAGTCCCCATAAAGCCACGAGGTGCCTTGGGCTGCATAACTTAACATGTCCTCAATAAAACCACAGATTGGGAAAAAGCCGTATATAGAGTATATATAAAATCCCTTTCTGCCTACATGTGTCTAGTTGGAATAGGAAAGTGTGCTTACTGTGCACCAGATCTTTTGCAGGTACAGTCATCAGAGAAAGTACTGCTCAAACGTTCAGTAATAAAAGCAGAGCAGCCAAGATGAAGCAGAAACACTAGGAATGCCTTTTAGTCCCAATCCCTATTGAAGTGTCCGACAAAATTCCCAGCAATGGTAGTGGTAGGATGCAGCTTTCTCTTGGCAAAATCCAAAGTAAGGATGTAGCTCTTCGCTGATGAATACCAGCCCAGGTTTATCAAGTCCTTTTTCTTGAGGTAGCTTCAGCCAAGAGGGAGAATATCTCCTCTCTCTCCTTCAGTAGAAGCTGAACAACTGATTTTTTTCCACATCTCTTCTCTGGCAAAACCAGTTTGCTTCAAAGCTATTTTCTCATCTAGAAGTGGGGGGTAGAATTCTGTAAAAAGGCTCCTTTTTGTTTTGGGGAAAGCAATACTCCCATTTGTTTAAGCTTGGGCCTAGAACTTGAGTTTTATTGGCCTTTCAGGTGGCTTTGCAGTTAGTCGTTGGTGTCCTGAAGTCTTTCTTTTCTCCTGCTTTTGGATGCTAGGAATCATTCTTCCTTTTACCTGGGGCTTGTCATTCTATCAGCAGCTGCTGGCTGCTGCTGAGGGCTGATAAGTCTGCCTTCCTCTGACTTGATTTATTCCGATTTAAACTCTGTAGATGTTGCCCCTTATCAGCCATCAGGTTTGACTGTGTCCATAGCTTCTAGTACATTGGTTTTTTTCCTTCGTGTTGCTTCAATGCAACCATCCCTTTGCTGCCCTAGACTGTTAACTTTGTAAGCAGAAGGCCTTGGTACTGGTGTGTTTGTCAGTAGACATCAGCAAAGAAGCATTTGCCGAGTAACGGAGAGGAGAATAACCCGTGGTCTCTTTATATATTTTTTTTTTAAATCTTTTTTTTAGAATTTTTTTTAATCTTTTTTTTTTTTTTTTCTTCAGCAGAAATGATTTTCAGTTTCTGGGAAAAGGTGGGGGGAATGGTAAATCAACCTAATAGGGATATTTTCCTTTCAGGGAGTAGAAACCGTTAAGAAGGAAATAGATGAAAGTGTTTTAGGGCAGACTGGTCCTTACAAACGTCCGGAGCGACTACGAAAAAGAACAGAATTCTCAGGCGAGAGGATTAAAGAGGAGCGAATATTTGAAGCTAATGAGTACGTATTGGATGTAATTTAGGGTGAATATTTCTATGTATAATTTGATAAAACCTGTAAAACTTAACTACAGGCCAGGGATGGTTAAAATCCAAGTGAGGCTGTGGGGTGAGGCCTGACCTAGCAGAATGGGTAGGTCTGAGAGCAACTTCCCAGTGTAAGCTGATGAATTTTCCGATAGTGACGCTGGGCACTTAAAATTTTGAAGTGGGTACATAATGTTCTGACCTGAAATCTTGACATGCACGTATCTCATGTTTTCTCAGTTCTGACATCTTCCTATTGAATTACGTTTGGCAGGGCTGAGTCTGAGCTCCTTTGCTTTCTCTGCTTCCTTGCTCTCCCCCAAGTTGTCTCTCTTTTATGTTGTGCATCGGCCTCAGTGGTTCTGCATGCTGCAGTGATATTTGTCAGGATGTGCTCCCTTTTTATTCCTGCTCGGATGTAAGTTACTTGTGAGTACCTGTGTCTTCTGCACTTTCTAGGGAGGCCATGGGTGTGGTGCTGCATAAAGACTCAAAATGGTATCAGCAGTGGAAAGATTTCAAGGACAACAATGTGGTCTTCAATAGTAAGTGTTCCAAAGACAAAGGAGTAGCACATTATTTTCCCTGTTCTGATTCGTGCTGTGTTGGATCTGATGCCATCTGTGCAACTAGTCTCAACATAATGCAAATCATAGCCATTTTTTGTTGTTGTAGCTGTTGCTGTGAGGTGGTGTGAATGGGAGGTAGGCGTAGCTGACAACATTGCTGCTTTTCCAAGCTGCTCCATCTGTGTTTGGACCCTTCCCCCAGCCAGGCATTGTTTTTGATTAGTCCCTGCTCCCTGTAGGTACCAAAACCTGCTCTCGCCATTGCTTAAAGAGAAGTGAACTCTGTTTTTTTCTAGTTTTTTTTTTTTAGTCAGATCTACTCTGGCACCGGGAAAAGGCCAGGGCATACATGCATGCATGTCACCAGGGAGAGGGCAGGCAGATCTCTTTCTCCCGACCTTGAGCTTGTAATGAGGAAAAATCTTGTCTTCAGTGAGCTGGTTTCTGTTGTCATCTGCTTAGAAGTCTGGAATGTGTGGGACTTCGCCTCCTTTCTGTTTTTATTGCAAAACCTAAAAATACTGAGTATCTGTACTGCAGTGGGCAATAACTTTTGATAGCTATCTAGACACTTAATGTTTCTGAAAGGCATAAAGAAGCCTGAGACCAGAATCCTTCAACAAATCAAAATAATCGCTGCCGGTGTACTCCAGGGTAAATGACTTGTCAAGGAACAAAAAGATTGTGTAAAAGTGCAACATATAATTAACTTTGGATTATGTTTCTTCCCAACTTCTTTTAAAGTGGAGCTCCTTGGGACATATCCAAGAATGGGTTTTTATATCCCATTTGTTAACCTTTCCAAGGAGAGATGCTCATAGCTCCTAAAGCTCCCCACATGTTGCATCCTCCCCTCCCGTGCCATCTGCACGAGCTCTCTGCGTTCTCTAGATTTTACGCCTATTTCCGAGACTGTGGTTTTGCAATTCAGGCAACGTTGCAGATGTGGCTGCACCAGGCTTTACAGCGTGTGCTCTCCCTTTACGTACCACCCGTACCGAGAACACTGTGTGTTTTTTGGAACGAGCCTAAGCTTCAGGGCAGGATTCCAATTGTTAATTGATGTGATGGGAAGAAGCTTCCCTGCAGGGCCCATTATTCCGCAACTTCCTTCTGCAGTTCTGGTCCATCCGATGACGTCCAGAGACAGATAATGGGTTGGTTGAGCCCTTAGTTTGTTGCTTAAATGGCTCTTTTTTTTTTTTTTTTTTTTTTGCTTCACCCCCTACTCATCTTTCTGCCTTTGAGATTTTGGCTTGCAGGTGTTCTCCTTCCCCATCAATGACTTCTGTAGTTTTGTGACATGCTTGGCTTGCTTCCTTATCAAGGTTAAGTACTTAAGGTTAAGCTGCTTAAAAACTGCATCCTTACTGGTGTCTTGCTATTTTATTAAAAATTGGCAAGGTTTAAGGTCTATTCTTGATTTCTTCTCCCTGCAGTTAGACTTGCTGGTGTTGGTTTCATGTTCTGCTACCCCTTGTAGCAGAGTGAGTCAGGGTATAACAGACTGTTACTGGGGTAAGCAAGTCTGAAAATCTGCATAGAAGGTCCAGAGTTTCTGGCAGCTGAAGTCAGAGAAACCATCATTTTCCTGGTGACAGTTATTGGTAGTTAAGAACGTTGCAGGAAGATGAAAAAGTAACTGTTGAAATTGAGACTTGTTAATCAACAAAGAGATTTAGAAGAGAACTAGCAGGTTTGATCTACACTTCATTGCGTGTTGTTCCCTAAATCAGAAATGTAGTGGAAGGACACTGCTGCTCACGTCTCCTCTCCTTTCAGGGTTCTTTGAAATGAAAATGAAGTATGATGAAAGCGATAATGCATTCATTCGAGCTTCCAGAGCTGTCACAGACAAAGTCACTGACTTAATAGGTAATGTTTCATCACTGCTGTGAAAGTGCATCTCTAGCCTGTTAGCTCCGTTCCTAGTGACTGTTAGTGCTGTTGTCCTCCCCGTGTTACTAACCTTTGGGACAGATTCCGAAGCTTTATAATACTTTGCATGGATCATTATCCAGTCTCATGCAGTGTAGCAACCTGCTACTGGATCAGAAGTGCAGTGTGGTGACCGAGGGCTTGTATGAGAGAAATCTCAAGCATACCCTAAAGTCTGCAGTTGTTCCCAGGCGACTCTTCCTTCCCTCTGGTATTTAACCAAAGGTCTTTCTCTTGTTTCCTGACGACAGTCGTTGTGCCACCAGTCTCACTGAATTTTTTTATTAGGTGGCTTGTTCTCGAAGACAGAAATGTCCGAGGTTTTGACAGAGATACTCAAAGTGGATCCATCCTTTGACAAAGATCGGTTTTTAAAGCAATGCGAGTATGATATCATCCCCAATGTCTTGGAGGTAAGGTGGGGGTAGAGTATAATGCATTTGTTTTATTTTTTTTTTCCTTTAAATAACGTGGGAGATTTTTCTTTTAGTTTTCTGTTGCTAAAATTAGAAGCTGGGACAGCATTTGCTTCTCAAGCATCTAGCTTTGCACAGAATGTGAGATAACCTTGGGAAGAGAAAGTTGGATCCCACATAACAATTTAGTTTAAAACCATATTTCATGATTGAGTAGACTAGCAGGTTTTTTTTTTCTGGCCTTGAAAACAGCTAACTGTCTTCTCCCATGAGAATGGTCTGGGATCAGACTGAAGTGGGTGAATGAACAGTACTGGGCAAATGATCATCTCAAATATTGATGAGGGAATGTCCTATGTACGACTGGGTTCTAAGTGATCTGTAGCTGCCTGGGAAGAAGACCAGGTTGTGACAAATGGTTCAGTGAAAATATTTCTGGCACTAGTCAAGGAAGTATGTGGAACTTAATATTTTTAAAGACTAAAGTATAAAACCACTCAAGAGGATGGCACTGATGAAGGATGTGACCTCAGGTATAAGTGGATATAGTTCCTCTCCCTCCAACAGTATGTCAGAAAAGGCAGAGTGAAAGTAGGGGATTCGAAAAAGTACAGCAGAAATTGTTTTGAGAGATTTGCATGGGGCTGGAAAACCTGAGGCGTGAAGAGATAAACAAATGCTAAGGGAGAGCAAAGTGTTATTTTTCTCATCCGACAAACCAGTGCAGTTAGTGATCACATCTCAAATTGATACATGCTAATACACATGTAGAAATATTTATGATGCTCCTAGTTATGAGGTAGCATTATAGGATGAATAAAAACTAACTTATGCTTACAGATGCAAACGTTCAAACCGATGCAGAGTTAGGTTTTGTCACTGCTGTCTTTGTAGTGACACTGGCTTGTGAATCAGACCTGGGACTGGAACTGTAATGTCGACAGTGAAATAGGACTGACCTGTGATGGTGAATCTGCTTTTTCTAACGGTGCCACGTCACCAAAGCAAGCTGCAAAAAATGGGCTCTTGACTCTTGGAGAATCAATTTTTCAAACTGTAGGCAGCCCAGCTTACAGGTGCCATCAAGTATGAAGATTTATAGGCAAGACATTGAAAAACACCCTGCCACATATAACTACCTTTATTCTGAAATCTGCTACGTTCCCAGCATCTGTCTTGTTGTGAATTCCAGGTGTTTATTACACAGTGTTTTAAAGAGAAACCTTTTCATGAGTGGCTGTGTGATTTCTCTGTTCTGTGCCCTGGATTTTTTGAAGTCTTGAAAAGTGTAGATCTACTTCTGGTTCATACTCCTGCTTCTGGTAGATCCCACCTCCCAGGATTTCTGGGTGGTGTGCATTCTGCTGACTTTTTTGGACAGAAAGGTTTAAGACAGCTTTTGTCTGAATTATCGGAAGGTTTATGTACATCTGACTCAGTACGAGTGTGTTTATAGAAGTTCTTATTGCTGTTCTCTTTGAAGTTCCTGTCCTCCTTCAGGGTTTCACAAGATGTAGGATTTAAAGTAGTTTGCTGCTGAAAGCGCTGATAATTTCAACTCTCTGATATAGGAGGTGCTTTAAAATGCTCATATTTTATTTGATTTTCTCTTTTAGGCTATGATGGCTGGAGAGCTTGATATACTCAAAGATTGGTGCTATGAAGCGGTAAGTAGAGCTACTAAAAATGCCTGAAAAGGTGATGATTCTCTCCTGTAAGTAGGTGCATTGTGCTTCCTTTGCTTGCAAGCTGTCTGACTGTTCTAGCTGTGATGTTGCTTACCTGCTTTGCCCAGCTGCTTCCCCATGTATAAAACACTAATGCAGTCAAGTGCATGTGCTGGACTTCTGGAACAGTCTGGATGTGAGAGGAGAGCTGTTTAGAGGCAGAGAGTGCATCGAGAGCTAAGCTCAAACAAGTCTAACTAGCACCAGTTCTGCACTGCCCTTCTTGATTTGGACGGGCTTTAGCAGAGCCTGTATCTCAGATATGGGGTGAGAAGGTGTAGAGGCATTTGAGCTGACCCAAAAAGGTGATGCGTTTCCCTGGAGCTACTCTACAACCACAACTCCACTGCAATATCCCACGAAATAGTCCTGGCAGGCTGAAGTTTTTCTGACATTGCAGCATAGATCATCTGCAGCCTGGATAATCTCTCTGCAGAAAACTGAATTTTGTTTTGCTGTACAAAAACTGGTTGGATATTGGATCCACTTCTTGAAATGTGGATTGTTGAATGTGAATTGGTTGCAATTCCATGGCTGTATTATTGTCCACTTAACTTCATGAAAGCAGATCCCTTCCTGACAACGTAGATGGATGCTTGTTCTGGTCTTCACTCTGCTCCAGAACAGTTGTGTTGTAGGCAAGGCAGAGCCATAGTTGTTCTGTTTCTAAAGAATTTAATTGCTTAAATTCCTTACTGATCACCACCACCAGAGGGCTGGAAGCGCACACGCTGGAAGAGGCAGTTTCATTTTTTCTGATGAACATCTTTGTAGCAATATTGCAGTATGTAAGATATTTAAAGCGGTCTGAAAGTAAAGAAAGTGCCTTATTGGTTCAAGAAAGCTTTGAAATGACACCACAGAATTCCTCTCAAAGCTCTTAGAGGGAAGCAGCAGATTCACTGCAGTTTGCAGGCAAAAAGCAAACCCTCCTAAGCTAGTTGTAGTTAGAAATTAAGCTCATAAGTGAGGAATCATCTGTAAAATAAGCCAAGGGAGGAAACGGGAGTCCTATTAATGAGAATCCAGGACATAAAGGCTGTTGAACAGAATCATATCACAGGTGTTAAGTTTGTGACCCTGGTCACTAAAGGGTTGGAGTACAAACCAGTAAGACAAAAACTTATTTATGTGGCAGGTATAAAGCGAGCTGCACGCTGCTGCCAGCCCACTGACTTAGGTATAGTATGTGGCTCAGAGAGCTGCGTCTGCCTACTCTCTTCAGAATCCCTGATCTGTAACTCCAACGTCACTCCAGCGACTTTGCCAGTATAATTCTGTAGGATATTTGCATTTAAATGCTTGTGATGAAGGTTAGAAGATCCGTGGTGGGGAGGCAGGTAAGGTCGGCCTCCTGTTTGTTTCCACCTGCCAAGAATATGATGATGTTGCTGGAAGCAAGTAGAAATTCACTACCTCCAACAACAGTTCTTGATGCATAAATAATGAAGCATATGTGCATGTGCCTAAAAGGAGCCAGGAAATGCTGGTCTGCCTCCAGGGTCTGGCTGGGTATTAGGAAAATAGCTTGGTTCTCAGACTGTTTCTCCTTGTCTGCTGTCAAATCAGAATCACAAGTGCCTTGGCTGTCAGGTGGACTTGGTGTACGTACTCTGGTGTGAATGATGGATCTCCTGTTCTGTCCCAGGGCGATGGGATTTTTAGTGAGAGTGTGGTTATGTGAAGCCCAGAGTGTTTGATGTAGCTGTTTAATATCTTGCAAGACATACGTGTTCAGCATAGTTGCAAAAAGCTGACTTTTATTCTCTTTTGATGGTTCTCTCTAAGCAGAAAATCCCTTTTTCTTTGTGGCAGAACAAGTTCAAACGTATAATGTAAGTTTGTTGCCTCATTTAGACTTACAGCCAGCTTGCTCATCCAATCCAGCAAGCCAAAGCCATGGGTCTCCAGTTCCACTCCAGGATTCTTGACATTGACAACATTGACGTGAGTGTCTTTTTCTATATTTCACCTTGGGGGATGAATTAGAAACTCAAGACCTGAGGAGGGTTTTTTTTTGTTTTTTTTTTGCTCTGACTGCTGGGGTTTTTTTGCTGCTCTGGTGTTTGCCATTTCTGCTAACAGAGCGCTGCTGCTGGAAGGGAGAGCCCATGGGACAGATGCGCTACTTGTGTGATCAAGCCCAAGTTACAGCATTGCAGTTTGTCTCCTCTTTGACAGGACGCCTTGGTCTTAATCACCAGCATATAGATTGGGAAAGGCTAATGATAAAGGCAAATAGCACTGACCCAGTGCTTTCATGGAGGGCTTTGTTGATGCTTACTCTGGATGATAACACACAGCACTTCTGTGACTCAAGGTTGTGCTGTGCAGGAGTGGTCGTTAAGGGAGACTTAACGACTGTTCTGGCTGGCTCTTGATGAGTGGGGAGATAATGGCCATGAGGGGAGCTGTTGCTGCCTTAGGAGCAGTGCTGGTAGCTGGGGACTCTGGCCAAATGTCTGCACAGTCGTAACGCTCTCCGCGTTCCCCTTTATTGAGGAGCCAGAAGTGTTATTGTTGCACTTAGCAGTAAGTCTACAGTAGTACTTTCATTTAATTAAGTCTTTAGTGTCATCTGTCACTGGCACCTCAGTTTTCTTTCAGATCTTTCTTTCCTTCAGTAGCAAAGGTATCTCAAAGAAATGACCACCTTTAGTCAGACCTTTCATATCCCATAACCAGCTCTGCCTCAAAGGGAATGTGCAAGGGGAGGAGGGGAACAGAGCTGTACGCCAGTGCTTTAAAACATGGGTGGAAACAGGCTGCAGTCAGAGCAGCCGTTTGTCATCAAAGGTGCTAACTCAAAGGCAGCAACGTTCACTACAGGCTCCTGTTGGAACCAAGTATTACGGTATACTTGTCTGTGTGGTATCATCCTCAATAAAATTATACGCTAGATCCATTCGGATGATTACCCTAAAGCCAACTGCAGGGTCGTTCCTGTAGGAACAGAGAACACAGAGCTACTTAATAGGGGTCTAAACCCAGAGGTGATGTGGTAAGGAAGTGGAGGATTGGAAGCTTTCAGGTAGAGATGGAAGTGGAGCATGGTGATAAAAGGATGCTGTTCAGAAAGTGAGAGCTGTTCCAGATGTTGCTGGGTGTATTGGCTGGCCAGACGTTTCTTACTTGCGGTCACCCCCCTGCGAGACAAGAAGTCAGGAGGGATTCAGCAACGATCCTGGAAAACCGAGAGAACAAAGCCTGATGCTGTTGTTTTGCTGAGGGGACTGCTGATGGTGACTTCTCTGCAGCCCTGTGCAGGACTCTCTTTTTGTGCCCACATCATTAAAAAACTGGAGTTGGTGCAGGAGAGCTCCAGAAACACCTGAGCAAATGCCCTACAGAAAGAGCCTTAGTTTGACCTGCGTAGCTCTACAAAAGAATGGTGGGAACTGACTTGATTAATGACCGCGTATCTTCACAGGGAGCAAGATCATCTACAGGGCATCTCCTAGCACAAAAGGCTCACGTCTGGTCCCCTTCCTTAGGACTGTTTTGCCTTTTAGTCTTGATAGGCTTCTCATTTTCTCTCATCCCTCTGGGTTCAGAGGAAGCCATTCCTACCTCTTCGGTAACTCTGGATATTAACTGCAAGCATGTGCCAAATAAGCAGGAAAATTTCTGTGGCAACTGCAATTCTCTTGATTATCTTCAGCAATAAATAATGTGGTCTAACAAAAAGCCATGGAAGCAATAAGCACGATTGCTTTTTTCAAAGTGTCTTATTTAGATCAAAGTTTTTTCTGTATTGTTAGTGTCTAGGAGACTCAATATCATTCTGTGCTTAATAACTTTTTTCCTCTGTCGGTGCTAATTAGTACAGAGCAGTGCATGGATTCTGAGTGGTGGCTGGGAAGACGGTTTGTTATTAACTCCTTTTAGATGCCTGTGTTTTCACATGAAGTTTCTCAGGAATGCATCTTCTTAGCTGGAAAATGATCGCTACGGAACATAAATGAGCGCTGTTCTTGTTATGCTGTCTGTATTGCAAGAAAAGGGGATAAAGGGTGTTATGTGTTTAAATTTTTAAATGCGGTTCCCTAGAGGAGATTTATGGGAGTGTGTTGAGTGATCTCATCCAGAAACACAGTTCATGGAGGTTGGGGGTGGGGGGGAAGTTTAGAAGATTTAAGGCACTTCACATGCTGCAGAGTTTGCAGCATTAAAATTAAAATCAAGTCTTTCAAACATAAACATCTGAAGTCATGTTCCAGGTACTCGCTTGAGCACTCTCTGCTTCACTAGAGAACTACTGCCTTTAAATTTAATGGAGTTTTGTATCCTTGATATCTCTTAGGACTATTTATTTGGCTGCCTAAATGTAGTTTTGAGTATGTGACTTGTGAAACGGGGTGTCTGAACTTAGTGTGGGAGGAATGGTATGAATATCGAGGGTTTTAGGGATCATAGCACCAAAAAATAAAGCAATACCAGTATGGAAGCCTTGGTACCCGTAAGGGATACAGCCGAGCCAGTGATACAGCCCTCCTTCTTCTGGAAACCCACATACAGATTTATGTTGTCCAATTATCAATGCCAGGTAGTGTCATATAAAATGTCTGTTGTGGAAATTGGTCTGACAAAGAGCTGTGAGATCTGGGGTTTGATGCTTGGGTGGAAGGCATTAGGCACTGCTGAGTGAGTCAGGCCAGTTCCAGAAATGCAGCGTGGACTGGGATTGCTGCAGAGCTGGGGAAAGGATTTCGTCGGGTTCCACAGAGAAGCATTGCAGCAGGGCTGAGTTTTCCTCAGGGAAGAGCAAAAAAAAAAAAAAAGCAAAACCAATATATATGCCTTTGTGAATTATGGCACGGTCTTGTAACTGTCTGTTGTGATACATTTCTTTATTATGTGATAAAATGCAATGGTTTTGAAACAGTATCTGTCATATATGAAAGGGTAAAATCGTGCTACGTTAAGTTTGAAGCCGTATGATTGCCTATTTGGGTAATATAGCCCGTAACTCCAGAGTTACTCAAGAGCAAGCTACTGTTCTGTGGCATACTGCATTCCCACAACAGGGGCAGGAAGAGGGTTGTATTTTTTTAAAAGCACAACTTTGGGAAACAAAACTTAATTCTCCATTCCTCTTTGCATTTCAGTTAATAATCTCTTTAAATATTTAATGGAGTGACCTTAGAATAGAGAAAAAAATCCTGTCAAACAAAAGGTTCTCCCCTTGAATTCTTTCTGTTGCTTAGAATCAGAGAATCGTTGGGGTTGGCAAAGCCCTTTAAGCTCCCCCAGCCCAACCGCTCCCCTACCCCTGCCATCCCACCCCCAAACCCTGGCCCTCAGCACC